TTTTTTTTTTTTTTTTTTTTTTTTTTTTTTTTTTTTTTTTTTTTTTTTACACTATTGGTATTTGTAGAGCGAAAAATTTTTCGAGCTTTTTTAAATCCATCTACACGAAAAATGTTAAGTGGTTAAATTTGGTTTTATCTGAGCTGTTGTAGTTAAAGAGAAGAAAAATGATTTTTAATTACCTCACGAAGGTAATAATGATTTGTGAAAATATCGAGTTAAAAAGATAATGAATTTCGTTTTAAAAATAATACTTAAGGTGTTTTACTGTTGTATCGGTGTTGTGATTTTACATTTTGCGAGCCAGAGTATCATTAAGTCGATGCTTCGTCGAAAGTTGATGATCATTTTTTTATATTTTACAAAGTTGACTATGTACATAAACGATAAGTATTAAGTAAATAAACAACATGTTGTAATGTGATGTCTCGTATCAAGCATTTATTTTTACCGTCGTCAGATAAGTCCTTTTAGTTTTAATTTTTGGCATAGGATAAAAAGTATCTTCTGCGCGGTTAAAGAGTTTTGAATTTCTACCCTGACAAGGTAGTCGTTGCATGGAAAACGAAGCAAATTGACACAAATATTATTGAAAAAGAGGTAGCAAATAAGTACATAATATTTTTTCTGGGGTCTCAAGTATAGCACAGGCGTTGCTTTATAACGCCAGTGCACGGTACAGCGCTGTTCTTAATTGAGAAGATTTAATTATAAGTATTTATTATCTCGTTAGCTCCAAGATACTCGTAAAATATTATGTGTGTTGGTTATAGCTCGCTTGTTCTCTCAAAACTTATAAAAGCCTTTGCAAACGTGACAAAATATACAGAGTATTGTCATATTTTGCTTCGTGATAAAGTTTTTTTTTTTTTTTTTTTTTTTGTGGCATTAAGGACGATGACCGTGTGAAAACGTAAAAAATTGGTGCATTTATTTAAGTTTATGCATTGAATCTTAATTTTTCGTTTATTTAACAGAAAGCATAAAAATCTCAATCGCACCGAACAGTTGACATGACACTTTTTTCGAGTTTCCAATAAAATTAAAAAAAAAAAAAAATTTCGAAACGAATTATCGTAAAAGATTATTAAAACAGACTCGTTTTCATTTATTGTTGAAAACTAATTTTTGTTTCTTTCTTTCTTCACCCAAACGTACGTTTTGCGATGCCTATACCGTGTAACAATAACAAAGTCCTCGTGATTTACCTGTAAGGAAATATCCATCAGAATTAGAAGATTATATATAAAAAAAAAAAAAAAAAAAAAAAAACTCGTACACGAAAGCCACATAAAAACGCTCATCGGCCGAACGCTAACTTGCACTCGACATAAGTGCAAGCTGCTCGAGACAAGATACAGAGGAGATAGCGAAAAGATAATAATAAATACACACACCCACATGGTGACATTTCCCCCAACACCCATACATGTATGTATACGCTTACTATTTAGTAGCACTGTACCTATATACTGCCACTGCCACGCAAGCTCATGTATATATAGAATATACATATACTTACACGGGTGCAAGCACGATAAGTTGGCCCTGCAACACATACGACCCGCATCTGCGCGCACGCGTTACTCTCTTCACCCTCCAGTCGCCACCACCCCTTTCTTCGGTTGCAAGCTCTGCAAGCCCAACGGCGAGGAAAAAAACTCCCTGTGTGCATGCACACACAGTGGCGGCGCCCGCGTCGTCGTTGATTCGCCTCGCAACCTCGTTCCGGACGCTAAACCTCGTATCCTGTAAAGCAGCCCGTGAATTAAAAGAAAGAAAAATTAAATTGTTTATATAAATGGAAATAAAGTGATTGATCGTTCGAAAGGGTGTTAACGAGGGCTAAATGGGTCATCGGCCAGTGACAATCTCGAGGACACGCGACGACGCTTGGCCTAGTTATAAGCTCGTCCTCCCTCTCTGCTCGTGCATATACACACGCGCGTTGGTCACATAGGCGCGTGTTTTTGTCTGCGAGGAGGAAGAGGAAGTTAACAACAACAACAACAACAACAACAACAACAGTGACAACTGGGTGCTGGTGACTAGCTGCACCCCCCAATCTTGTGCCTAATTCCCAACATAGTGTTGTCGTCAAGGTTTTCACTCTCATTCCTCTTTTCTTTCGTTACGTTCGATCTCGCGTGCATATACCAAGAGAGAGGAAGGAAGAAAGAGCTTTTTGGCCTTTCCCTGTATATTAACGCGGAAACGCTCTTTTTTTCCTCTTCTTCTTTTTTCCTTTTACTCGCATGCAGAGGATTTCAGTGTACGTGCGTCTTTACATTCGTGGGTGATTGTGAGAAAAAAAAAAAAAAAAAAAGAAAAAAAAAGTGCACTATGTTGGTAACCAAATTGGTGGTTCGAAGGCAAGAGAGAAAAAGAGAGAAAGTCGATTTTGCATAGCGCGAACGAGGAGCTGGACAGTACGGGGTGCATTTTGTTTTTCATGCATTATTCATCCGAATATATAGAGGGGGGGGGGCTTTCTCTCCCTCTCAAACGCGTGGGGGGCTGAGGGGGGTAATTTTTGGTGGGTTGACCCGCGGAAGAGTTAATCATTTGTAAACTACCTGCCGAATCAAAGATCTCGAGCGAATAAAAATTGCAACGGTTATTAAAAGAAAAATTGTACACGGAACATTTAATTGTCCTGTGTCAGAGGGGGGGGGGCATGGTATCGTGTGTTTAAACGGCGATCGATGGTAGAATGATGCCTGCTTCGAATGGATGGAGCGAGAGTAAAGTGTGTCGTGGTGTATTAAAAAATTCAGATCGCTTATAGTTTTTCCGAACGTGATCGGATTAGCCTTTCGACCTTCAATTTATTTTACCTCACGAATAATAATGTCCATGTGCATACGCACGAAATAAAAGCTACACGTGCGAGGCACCATCACGTGCATACACCCGAGAAAATCAAAAGTTTGTTCGTTTGTTTTTTTGTCTTTGATGTAGTGAATTTTGACGAGGACAGGGAAAAAGTCAAGTGATTCGATGCAAATGAGCTCGTTTGTGATGAAAAGCCGTATAGGATAAAGAAATGGAATCAAACGGTCTCTCCGAGCTTTCTCCCTTGGGGGGCCAAAAAAAGGGGAGAGACTCGATCACGCGCGTTAATTCGACAGTTGCGGCCTAACGATATCGCCCCCCCCCCCCTCCAGCGGGTCTTCAATAAGTGCACTTGATCGATCCGTCATGGCGCGTCTGCTTTTACACTTTATAATGTGGATGAACAGACTTGGGCATGGATATTTTTTTCTATTTTTTTGCTGGAAAAGTAATAAGAAATAACTGTTTGATAACTATTTACAATCCAGCGCTTAACAACAATTTTTTCCAGCAAAAGCAAGTTATTAAAATTTGAAAAAATAAATAAATAAATAAAAAATAAAGATCAAAGTATTTGATTGTTTGTATTGGCGAATACTTAAATATAAAAAATGAATTACATACTTATCAGCCAAGGAAAAGGAAAAACGTGTTTTTAATATCAGATTGTGAAAAGTAATGAATAAAACATTTTTTAAGAAAAGCAGTGCACTGTATGTTAAGAAAAAAGAATTTTTTGTCAAAGAGTTTGAAAATTCACGAAACAATTGTGCCCAAGTCTGTGCAGTAAAGTAATACTTGCGATTGATTCTCGGGGTAATGACTATAGCTTGTGTGTGCGTGGTGTTGCACAATCAAAAAACAAATGGGAAAAAAAATGAGAAAAATATAACTAAGGTGTGAAAAACGAGAGAAGACGCGTGTTACATGTTTTTTCACTCACTAAATGGAAAAAAAGGGCATTTCATGCATCAGCTCACATGATGTACAATATGATGAGACGGACGATGCGCAACTGTACAAGAAAACCTGTTCCGTTGAATTTTAAAGGGTATGAGCTGCCAATAGATGAAAGATCGGCTATTAAATGGGAAAAGTTCGTTTCGATCGGATGGCAGTGTATTGTGTACTTACTTGCCATTCGGAGAGAATAGGGATGCATGCACCCGTGAAAGGGTCGGGGGAAGGTTTTGTCCCATTTGGAGCGAATAATGGGGATAAGGGATTTATTGCTTATGACCGGTATACACTTTTTGTTGCCAAATTTTTATGATTGCGTGTGCGTACTCTCTTTCTCTCTTGCTTATTATCAAAAAGTATTTAGACGATAAAAAAAATCAATTGGCTCAGTTATTTGTAACGACGCATGTATAAATTATCCGTTAAGCTTGTGATTGTAAAAAATTAATACGCACACGCATACGTAAGTATGTACTCAAGTTTGCCTTGTGTTTGTCAAAAAAAAAAAAAAAAAAAAAAAAAGAAGAAAAGGGAGAAATGTACAACATGACGAGCAGTACTAACAAAACACCGGAAATGAACTACACCTGCGAGATATGCGGCAGGGAAGGTTTCAACGACGAGGAGATGCGCTCCCATATGGCCCTCTATCACCTCAAGGGTGCCGCGAACTGCCCCTTTTGCGATCTCGGGGAAATATCACCTGCCGAGATGCTCCTCCACGTCAACAGTGCACATTTGGATTATTTGACCCCGAGGTGAGTATATGTGTTTCTCTCAATCTTCTTTCATATCAGATATACTATACACCTGCACCTACCTTTGTTGTGACTTTTCGGAGAGAGCCGGAAAGGCCATCGATAATAATGTTTTTTGGATCTAATCGGGGACTCGTGGAGAATCCAAAAGTGTCGATAAACATTTCATTTTCACATTTCACGCGTGTATGAGTTGAAAATAAATAATAACAAAGCGTAACAGGTGTAAAAAATGTTTAACTCCATCAGCTCGGTCTGAATCTCTAAAGGGACCCTGGAGGGATAGGCTTTTTTGAGCCTTTTTTCTTCACTTGTCTCTTTTAGACTGATTAATTTGTTATTCCATAAGTTAATGGTAAAAGGTCTAAAGTATTGTAATTTTGTAAATATGGTCGATTTTATAAGCCATATAAGATAAGTGGAATATTTATACTTTTCAGGGTCGATTTACAGGAAAAAAAAACATATTTTAAACTTGCCGCAAGTAGCATTTAAAATGTTAACTATTAATCGTCTATTTAGAAGATTATTTGCGGCTGGTTTATAATTATTAAAGTGACTTTGCTGTAAACAGCAATAATTATTTTGGATCAGCGCCATCTAGCGATCTTTACTTTTTGGCCAAAAGTGGCTCCTAAAATTCTCAATCAGAGCATTCTGGATTAGAGCTATTTGATCAATTATAAACCAGCCGCAACTCATGATGAAGCTATAAAACCAAAAAGTAACGATACGTGTGTTTTTGGCGGCAAGTTAAAAATTTATTTTCTACCAAAAAATTGACCTCCTATGTATTTATACCTTTGAAGATACATTTTTGAGCATAAGATAGATTGTTACCTTGCCGCCAAAAACACTTGTATTGTTATTTTTATATTTTATAGCTTAATCATGAGTTGCGGCTGGTTTATAATTGACTAAATAGCTCTTATCCTGATTGCTCTGATTCAGAATTTTAGGAGCCACTTTTGGCCAAAAAATAAAGACCGCTAGATGGCGCTGATCCAATCAATTAATACTATTTACAGTAAAGTCACTTTATTATTTATAAACCAGCCACAACTAATCCTATAGATACACAATAATTAGTTAACGTTGTCTGTGCTATTTGCAGCAAGTATGCATTTTATCTTTTACCCGAAAATCGACCTCCAAAAGTATAAATATTCGACTTACCTCATTTGGCTTATAAAATCGACTTATCGCTTAGAACTTCAGCATGTCAACAAACTTTGAAATATCGGGTGATTTGAAATTTGAAATATCATTTTGATATTATATACTCGATAGATGACAAATCATAATCCGGAGTCCCTACACCGCGTACGTAAATAATGTTTAAGTCAAAGCGAGCGTCCAAGACAATGAACAAAAGGATGCGCAAGAAAATCCTCCTTGCCACGGGGCGAAGACTCAAGTTACCGTAAATAAAAAAAAACAATGTCTCATGTAAATCATGGAAAAATCATTCGTTTCGTGTTTATCGCCTTTGTTTTTCTTCACAGTACTCCTGACGAGAACGACGTGATGGCCTTCATCGACGAGGAGCACCATCACCAGGAACACAGTAGCAGCAGCAGTGGCAGCACAAAGCTAGCGCAACGTTGCAACGGTGAGACATCCTCGTCGTCTTCGTCGTTAGCCTCGACGTCCACACTCTGCGTTTCTTCGCCGTATCTTCAGCAGAACGGATGGTCGTCGTCGACGACACCGTCCTCGTCTTCGTCATCTTCCAGAACGTCAGCCACGACTACGAGGAAAGATGAGTTGTACACTGCTGCTGCAGCAGCAGCTTCTTCGTCGTCTTCCCTGTCTCTTTTTTCCTCGTCCTCGTCGTCAACTGGAGCCTCGATAAACAACAACAATAACAACAACAACAACAACAACAACAACAACAATAACAACACCACTCTTGTCAACAGTGGTAAGTCTCATGCGTTTCTGTGTTGGCCATGAATGGCTTTTAATGATCTTTGCCAACTGTTGTTGCACTTTATATAGTCGCGGAAAACACGGCTGGCCACGGTTCTCCTCTCCGTTCGAGTCTGAATCTGCAGCTACGCTCGCACGCGACTCCAAAGCTTCCCGTGAGAGAGTGCATGATGTGTCCTTACACTTCGGACAGTCTCAGCCAATTGGAGGAGCACATCAACCGACAGCACTTTGATCTCACGTCGCCGTCACTTCCCCCTGAGTCTCCTCCCAAAACGAGGGACAGTACTTTCAACTGTCCGTTCTGCGTCACGTCTTTTCCGAACTCCTCGGATTTGGAGCTCCACGTCAACATCGAGCACAAAGACATACTCAGGTATGCCAGTGAACTTTGACAAGACACTACAATTTTGCTTTTTTCCTCCCCTCCCAGTAAGATAATCTATTCATCTATCTTCCACAGTCCAGCAAAGGTATCGTCCCCCTACTCGGATGTAGCAACAAGTGGTGGTGAAACACCTTCATGTCCAGTTTGTCTGAGCACGTTGTTTAAAAACAGCGACGAGCTGACGAGCCACATCGAGGAGCACTTTGCGAAAAAGGCCTCACCCTCGCCAATGACGCCCGACGCCTCGTCGGACCGTTTGCTCGCCCGGGACATGGAGAGGCGCGAAAAGGAGGTGCAACGACTGAGGGAACAGCGCGAGTTCGCGATGCTCCAGGCGCAGTACGGCATGGACAATCAGGGTAACTTTAAGGAACAGAGCGTGACGAACATGCAGCGCGCGGTTTACGCGGGTGAGATGACCGTCGCGGATTACTACGAGAAGCAAATCGAACTTAGGCAGGCCGAGAACAGCGGCATCGACGATGGCAGCTCGTGCACTCGAGGTGAATGAATTTGTCACTTGGCGGGTGCAGCTACCTAAACCCCTGTATACCCCTGGCCGTTTTACTCTGTTTTTATTTTTTATTTTTTCGCTTTATACTCTTCGTTGCTTATGGTTTAAAAATGTTTAATGGAATCGTTTGAATTTGGCTAACTAGTCAAATTTACAGGGCTGGTCCCAAGGGTGAGGGCAATCAGCCAGGCGTGCAGCAATGTCGTCAATACTTGGATGTGTTCCACGGTCGATCACTACGCAGTGAGTTATGGTGACAAGGGCTGGGGCTGTGGTTATAGGAACGCGCAAATGATGATATCCGCGCTGCTGCAGCACACGGGTTATAACGAACTCGTCTATAGGGCCTGGAGCTGTGGTGTTAGCAACAGTAGATCCTGCGAAAATCCACAGCGCAGTTCTGTACCCTCGATCTCGAGACTGCAGAAGATGATTGAATGGGCTTGGGCTCAGGGATTCGATTTACAGGGGGCTGAACAGCTGGGCGCTCAGCTGGTTAATACGAGAAAATGGATTGGGACTACTGAAGTTGTAACGCTGCTTTCCAGTTTGAGGATCAGGTATTAAAAAAATAATTTACGCGATTGCACTGATTAAAATGAGTGATACGGTTTATTTGATGATTTTTGTCTCAGATGCCAACTAGTAGATTTTCACAGGCCTACAGATCCAGATGGCGGGCACCCAGAAATGTTTAAATGGGTGCTACGTTACTTTCAGCGCAGCGAAGATTTTAAACCACCTCTTTACCTTCAACATCAAGGTAATTTATTTTAAGCTTGCCATAGATAACAAGAAGATTTCGTTCAAGTAGCCGGTAAAAAAAATTTGTATTTTAATACAGGACACAGTAGAACTATCATGGGAGTTGAGCAACTGAGGGATGGTTCAATAATAATGCTTGTACTCGATCCAAGTCACAATTCAAGTCAAATGGCTCAATTTTTTAATACCAGCAGTGGTGCAAGCGCAATGAGGCTAGTGAGAATATCCCCTGCTGCAATGAAAGCAAAGCAATATCAAATTGTAGCTGTGATAGGAATCATGGATTCTGAAATGCAATACCAAGTAAAACATTGATATACATCATGATACATTGTTGTGAGTGTTTGAAAACTAATTTTTAATTGAAAAAAAAAATTTTTTTTTGCAGCAAAGTAAGGTGCTACACTCTTTAAGAATCCCCCATGATAGGTGAGATTTAATGGTATGGAGGGCCCGATATTCTAGGAGAAAACAATACCTCGATATTAGTTCAATAGTTCCCACAGCTCTTAAAATCATGTGAACGATAATTCAACTTCAAGGAAGAACGAAGCTTGTTACAATGAATCTATGTTATGCAAACATTACCAAACGCCGAATTGAAAATTAAATGCTGTTGAGACGTGGAATCGTCGAAAATTTATCGAATTTATTTGTTAAGCGTATTCGTGATATAAATATGAATCTAAGAGGGACTAAAAAAATTAGTTGAAGGGTAAAACAGTTAAAGGCTAAAGGAATATGAATAGAAGCTTGAAAATATCACTTTCTATTTATATTTCTATACAAAGATCCCTCGAATTCTTTTGGCTATTGAGTAGCTTCCGCTTCAAGCGAGCGTACTCCCAAAGCTGTCACTTCATTTAATATAAATTCTTAAGCTCAAATTTTGTCGAACAAATCAACAAAGAAACCAATCGTGTCTGTTCTTTGACCAAATCTTTCTGCATCAGGATTGGAAATGTGAAATCGTGAATGTTTTGATGTGAAGATGCAATCAATTTTTAACTGTATGACGCTCTTGTTGAATACGTTTTATCATAGGTGACTCTAGTCTTAGTCAATATGTAGTCAATTCGTTTAATTGATAGGAAACCTTTACAGGACATATTTGTACTTATTTTTATTTGAATTTTTCGTATTGGTTTTTAAAGGCAGTGCCTCATATTTCCATACCTCATGCAAACAGATACTTGCACTCTTCATTACACTTTAACAGTCACTGGAAATATATAAAGTGCAACTACTTTCATACTAATTATAAAAAAAAAAAGAAATTAATAAATTTAATTACTGAAAAAATGTAAGGCTAAAGAGAGAGAGAGAGCCGTAGCAACTAAGTCCAATGCAAGCTGTGAAAATTTTCAGTCCATTTACTTGTTACTTTGTTAAGTATTTTATGAAGATGTTCAAGAAAATGAATTTTCATGTAATAAATTCTTATTGCAATGACTAATTAACAATATTCCTCTCTATTTATTATGATAGCAACTATTCTTGTAATTAAATAAATGACAATGAATATTAATGAATGAAATAAAATTACCAAAATAAAAATTATGTTACATTAGCTTAAAAAATTTATCGTGCACAGAAGTGTGAACATCGTTGTAGGAGATTTTTGAACAAAAGAATGTATATAATTGTGTCATTATTTGACAAACCTTCGAGATCGTCATATTAAAAAGCATCGACATTACTTGTGTCAAAGTAAAATACATACTATATGCTTTATTAGAAACCCTAAAACAGTATTATATTCTTTCAATGAAACGCTCTGTTTTTCCACTATGTAAATTAACAAATTCTAATAAATGCACATTTTTTGTAAAAAAATTTTATTATTTTTCGTTAATAATAGTAACCTAACATTATAAGTTACATTCAAAAGGTAAGTAAAAATTTCAAGTTTTTTAAATGATTCAAATTTTTTGTTAAAAATAGAGTAAGTTATGTCAAAAAGAGTTACAATTTACATAATAACAGAACAACTTCAAGTCGTATTCTTCTAATAAAACTATGCAGATTTTTCACTAGGTTCAAGAAAATTAATAAGACGAAATTTTTCAACTTAATGATTTATTGACCTATATATTTACAAGAACTATTGTAAGAAGATTAAACTTAAAAATATTTGTATTATCAATTTCTATGGTAATACTTAAAGTAACCATCTTGGCTGCTTTGTACAAAGCGATTTGACCCAACACTCTTCAGATCTTTTACAGCTTAAATATTAAATCCCAAATGACGCATGCAAGCCTTGTGAGCTTCTATTAGGTGGCCACACTCAGCCTCGCCTTTTGTTATAATACTGAAACAAAAACGCATGACCTTGATAAGTCACCAAAAAAACAAACATCATTGATGACAATCTTTATACATATTAATCGTTAGAGTTTAGACAAACTGAATGAAACATCACAAATGTCTAAGGAATAATAGCAAATGGCTCATGTAACTAATATATCCTCATATTGTGCAATAATATCAACACAGTCATCATGTGTAGTAAACAAAATTCAACAAAATGACAGCTTATCCAGGAACAGAAATATTACAAATTACATCGACTAATATAAATTAGTGATGCAAATAATGATGAAAAACAGTAAAATTATAAGTAATGAAATGTCGAAATGCAAAACAATAATGAACCATAACCTAGAAGGCGCATTGTTTTTTCTCACCACTCGTCCCGAATCTTTTTCGTCTCCGGACACGCACAACACGGCTTAAGAGGCTTTTTTTCTTCGATCGGCTTGGCCTCGACTTTTGCTGAACTATTGCCCATATTTGTTACACTTTTTATTTAAGTTTTTACTTTTATAACGCTCGAATTATCACTTGACAGTGGAGCGACTGTATAATAATATATAAAAATGCGTGTGTTAACGCGTAGAAAACGTAAGTTTTCGGCGCGTAGAATACCATGTAAGTTACTTTGGAAGATTTGGACTTTTCTACGTGTGTGTATTGCCGATCGCGAGAATTTAACTTCAAAGTATTATTTTCTAATGAATTTTACTTACTCTGAATTTACATATTCAATACTTATCTTTTAGGTATGATATTCTCTTATTTGTCAAATTTTCGAAGCAACATTATTTCTCCAAGTTATTCTTTTACATTTAATTTTCACTTTATTTCTGCATCATTTCATTTAGTTTTCAGTCTTTGTTAGCACTTTTCAATTCAACGATGGCACATTTTTGTTTCTAATCCCTCTTGAATTCTATAAAACGTTTTTCCCAATAATTTACATACATTATTTAATTTTAACATTTAGCGGTGGATACTAATTTTAAGTTTACGTGGACTGTCCCAAGTATAAGATGTCAAGGCATGCACGTAACTTTTTTGCCGTTTTATTTTTTTTAAATTGTTTTGAAAATATAAAAGTTCTTTGGAAAAGTAAAAGACACGTTGACTATACGAAGGGAGCCGCAGAGAGAGAAGAAAAAATTTTTCTTTTGTTTTATTGTAGGGGGTACGGAGAGCTCCTAAATAAATAACATTTTCCGTCCTCGGGTGGTTTTGGGAGGCTGTTACTTCCTCGGGCGGAAAAGCAGTTTTCCGGAACTCGTTCGAAAAGTCTCCTTTACGAACCTCGTTACGTCCCTCGCCTTCGGCTCTTGCTGCAAACGTCTCGGTTCGCAAACAGAGACTTTTCAAACTCGTAGGAAAACTACCATTTTTATTGTTTTTAAGTCAATTCAAAAAACTAGAAATTGTAGTCATCGAAAATACGTTAAAATATACGTCAAGTAAGCACATGCGACGTATAAGATGACAAAGTCTTACGATCATTGTTGTATAACAATTATACAAGTACCCACGATGTCGATGTCTTAACATCTCATCAGTTGTAAAAAAAAAAAATATATATATATATACATATATATATGCCTACCATTTGCTATACTACATTTATACGTTTATTGTATCGTACACACGAGCATGTACATGTTGTACGTCAGGCATGAATAATAAAAAACGTTGACCGTTTCATTTAAGGATTGCATATAATACATAGTAAAACGAATTGTTAACTTATTGCGCTTTGAGTGAGAAAACACAAAGGGTCACTGTATTTATCTGCGAATCGGGTGTATACACATGATACTTGTAAGAAAGAGAACAGGGAGATGAGAGAGACTATTCGCCGACTGCCAACAAAAGTTTCGTCGTACAAACGACTAGCGTACACCCGACCCTGAGGCGCATCAGAAACTGCAGGGCGATTTGTCGTTATTATTTACCCGAGAGCTCGCGGACTTGGATTAATAGTAGTACCGCTCACTATGGCTATTAATACCGGCAAGATATACACACGAGCTTCGATCGGGTAAACGTATCAACGCTGGGTGGAAAAACTTTGCTTGACAAAACTAAAAGTAATGATAATAATAATAATAATAATAATAATAATAACTTCATTCCGTGGCTGGCATTATTTTTCATCTGTACATAATATATCTTTTTGGGAAAAGTAAAAAAAATTACGCCGATTTATCCACCAGCCAATATAATATATGTTGTTCAATCGTAAACCCTACTGTGTTTATTTAAAATAAATCTTCCAGCGGTGTAAGACACAAGTAGTCCATTATTGAGACATCCCAAAAGACTGTACGTACGTATACATTTTTTTTTTCACTTATAATCACGGATGGCGTTTAGCGCGAAATCGGCATCCGATCTCTGTGCGTCTTTTCTCCGACACGCCTATATGATAGACGCGGGGGCCATAATGTCCGTGCAAAGCGCTCGATTCCGTCTGACGTTCACACGAGGGTAGTGGGTTAAGCGCTCGATTATCGAGGTGGTGTGGCTGGTGCGCCGAGAGAGAGAGAGAGCCGCAGAGGCTGTATATACACGTAGCCGAACCAAAAGGCGGGCGGAAACGAGGAGCGCGAGACTCGCTCGTGGGAGTCGCTCTGCTGGCACGGAAGACGGCGCACCTCGCGGTCCATCAGGGTTTTTCTCGCACTCGTCGTCGGCCGTCCCAGTGCGAGGTGAGTCTCGTTAAATAGGTATTACCACAACACACGCGTAAGTACTTGCACCCTTTTTCTTTTTCCATTTGTACCCGCTTCGCGCGCGGGGGTATCGGTATGACGATCGGCGACCGGCAGATATAGATGCGTGCCGCCAAATGAGTTTTCACAAGCAATATTCGGCCATCGTGACCAAATTGCAGTGACCAAAGTGCAAAGGGCGACCAACTCGTATCGCCCCTCGCGATTCACAGCGAAATCGGTACACATGATGGATCGGTTGACACGATATGACACTTGGAATTCATCCTCCGTTCGACCCTTGTATACCTATAACATTTGTGCACGGGTGCACGTGTGTGTGTGTGTTTATACAGCACCGGGATCTGGTGGAAAGCTTCGCTCGCGTTCGGCTCTTCTGAAATAAATTGTGCCCGCGCCGCTCCACTTACCCATTTCGCGTGACTTTTACATTTCTCCGGCTATTTTTAATTTACTCATCGGCCGGCTATAACGTACACACGCTTGCCCTCTTTTTTTTCTTCCTTGCGTCCCAGACGAAAAGCTGTCCGATGGCCATTTACTTTTCGTTGATTAGGTTGTCGTTGAATCTGACAAATCGACGTTTGTTTCATGGTTCATTATGTAATTCAATATTTTACCGATCTCTTACTCATCACCGGTTTGCACTTGGAATCACCGATTGGAATAACGCTATGAGAAGAGGGGATATGGATAACGATGGTACGGGAAGGAACGAAACGTATCGTAGTCTATATATACATATATTTCAACGGGATCGACGAGCCGTGGCATAATAAAGTTTTGTCATCGATGCCCAACGAGAATCGAGACAGCGTCTGTGCCTGCTAATTTTGGCGGCCCCGCTTTCTCGAGACGGACGACGGTTTGTTAACTCGTTGCGTAATTGTCACCGGTATCTTTTATACCCTATTGTCCCACCTATGCGTTAGTTTTTCGTTACCTTTTTTTGTTTTTCCCTGTGGATTAGATTACAAGATTTCTTCATTACCATTGTAGACCTTAAAACTGTGTGGGTCACGATTTTTTTAAATTTTTTTTTACTCTAAATCATCAATATTTGATTTGTATCCAAACAAATGGCGATATTCACTCCGTTGGGATTAAAGTTATCCCATCGACTGGCAAAATTGTCGTCTTATATCTTTTCAACCATCCAAATTTACCGATCAGTCGCGTTTGTACATAAAAAATCGAAGCGTAACCGATTAATGGGGACTGTCTACGTGCAATTGCGTTTGTCCATCCTGACCGAAGGTAGGAACTGATGACCACGAAGAGAGATTATAGTAAGCAAAAATGTCTCCCGTACCGGGCCGATTGCGCGTAGTTTGGTGAAAAATCGGTAATTTCTTTTGTGGGGCGGTCTTCGGGTGGGATTTTTCGTTCTTGCCGTGGCGCGCGAAAGAATCGAGACTATTTTTAAGCCTGACCCAAATGCTCGTGTGTTCTTTCGAATCGAGAGTAGGAAGGGAGACGAGTCTATGAAAACGTTGGCTCGGGGGCTGTAGGATTTTGGGATTCGCGAGGAAAAACGCACGGGGTGTGTCGATGAACCCGAAAGCTGTCGAATAACGATGATTTGTAAAGAACAAAAACAAAAAAAAAAAACAAAAAAAAAAAGGAGAGAGGCCGTAAAAATAAATTTACGCGTATTTTTGATTTGGCGGGCGAATCATCGCGAGGAAGTGATCGCTTGAGTTGCCGATTTGCAAATAGATCGCGGCGTCGGTACCAGAGTTCTCAGCGAAAACAGGAAGTGGCGCGTCTCCGTAAAATTTACCCTCGATATTGGACGCACATGTATGTATTCCGTCACTTTCGGACCGACGCGGATGCGACACTCCCTCCAACGCGTGTAAACACGACAGCTTGATAAATCTCCCACTCTGTTCGTAGTTCCTCCCTCGTTGTTGACAATAACTAGCGCATAACTTCACTTTTTGCCTTCGCGCTTCATTTAAGTTTGCAATTATTACAGATTTGGGCAGAAATACCTACTTGTAGATTTTTTGCTGAAAGTGTTACGAATCATAAGTGCTAGTGATAAAATTTTTTTTTTCAAATACTACTTGGAACACTGCTCAACAAAATTAAATATTTGGTATCAAATACTTCACGATAAACTTTGACGTATAAAACGTACTGCACTTGTCGAATGAAAAAAAAAACTTTGTTTTCAGTACTGTATATTGATGAAATAAATATTTTTAGCGAAAAAATGCTCTTTATGTAGAAAATAAAATTTCTCATGTTAAAAAATGTGCGAAACGATTGAGCCCGCGTCCAAATCGTTGTAACGATTGAATAACGGGAATCAACAAAAATGTTAATCATTAATAATGTCCCAATGTGTGCCGATACATTTTTCAAATTTCGCGCGTAACCAATCCGGTCTACGTAGTTGTTTCAATGAACAAGTCATAGGGCACTTGCATAAACTTTCGAGCCACACCCAATAAAAACCGAAATCCAAAGCTCATTGCTGCACGTACATATATTTGTACACAGAGAGGGAGGGCAGACAATGGCCAACCAAAAGTTCCGCGGATCCGATGACATTCAAGGGTGCACAGGAAAACTTGGCTGGGAGCTCTGACTCAAAAACTAAAAGCGTTCGCGTATCTTAAATAGCTCGTTTGCCGGCCTGTACGCATCGCTCGCCCCTTTTTTCCTCTCTCGAGAAGAAGAAGAAGAAGAAGAAGAAGAATAATAATAATAAGCGACCGCCACCACCGCCGGCATGGTGACACTGAACTGCGGTTTCCTCTCGTTGATGATGGTGTCGCGAGCCGCGAGTAGGTACTAACACGGAATCCTACGAAATGAAAGGACCTTTTTTTTTATTTTTTTTTTCACAGCAGCTTATACACGCATGTTCCAACGGCACGCGTATATAGCTGTGCGTAATCGAAAAATACGAGCGTAGAATGGTACATGGGTATGGGGCATAGTATACCTATAGAACAGTATTATGTTTAGCGGTGCTAAAAAAAGACGAGCCTCTCACACGCGTCCCGAGAAAATATAATACACGCGCTTACAGCCGTACACCTATGGGCTATTTTTAACCGTCGATGCTGATAATTATTGCATTCGCGTAAAGGGATGAGAATCGTTTTACGGGTTCATAATACCGTTGATTACAGAACTTGACATTTATATGAAATCCTCAACGAAATCAATATAGAAATCCTAGTGAAATCACTCATAAATCCACGTAAATTGAAATGTAATCGAATGGCATCTCAATTCCTCTGGAATCAATACTCAAGTATGTTGTAAATTTGAGTAAAGTATAAGAGTAAAGATTAAAGTAAATTTGATTGTGATTCTTATGACTTGAAGCAGTAAAAAAATAACAACAATGATAAATACACCCCATAAGTAAAGAAATTTGAACAAGATGGTCAACAAACAGTTTTTTTTTTTTTTTTTTTTTTTGAAATTACTTCATGCCACGAGTAACCAACCCCGCGATCGATATGGTAATTTTTCCGCTGTTTCCCCAAAAATACAAGGGACCATTTAATTATAACTAGATGATCGGACACACAAGTGTTGCCCAACGAGTACCAAGCGACAATAAACCATCGGGGCCGCGAATTCTCTCGAGCGCTCGGCATTGTTTTCGGCAAATAAGCACTTGATTAAATCATTGTGGGTAGTCAGTCGAAAAGTTAACGGATTAATTAACGAGCCTCCGAAAGGCCGAGGTTTTATTTGATTTTCGCGTGTACAGGTGAGCGCGCGCCAATTGTACGAATTTAATCGCTTTAATCGTCCACGAACGAGTTTGCAACAACCAAAGATAGTCGTTCCTAGCCGGTGCCCGGTGCTTCACGACCCGTCGATCTGTCGGGGGTAAATTTAGCACTTGATGCTCTTTTGAAAGTTCGCGCGGTGCGTATCGCATCATTGTTCTACATCCCGTTGGAAAACATTCAAAAATCTGAAATACCTTCGGTACGGCGTGGTAAATCTTTTTCATCGGGCCATTCGGTTTTTGAGTGTTGAAGTTACTGTAATGCATTACTACTGCGGATCCGGTGAAATATGACTAGCCAAGTTCGGATTGTACGTCGTGGAAAATTTATGAACAAATATTTTACGTGAACAATCGGAATATGGGAGGATGTTATTCATAGCTTGCAGATTTTGTTATAAATTATTTGCTTTGCATTTCCAACCGAAAACATAAGCGTCTTTTAAAAATTAATAGCTCGCTAGTAGCACACGATACGATATTTTCAAAAGTTTCTTCGATTTATTCACACCTAAATCCTCTATAATGTAAAAAAAATGTTATTTTTATCAATGTTCATTTAAATTTTATAACTTACATTGTCACTGATATCCATTATCGATATGACATTTTACAGCTTTAATATATGATTGCCCGTTACGAAATATAATGAGATTCTGATGTGCAAATACATTAAAAAAATTTTGTTGAACAGATTGGTAATTTTGTAAGGATTTAAATAAGTGATAAAGAAAACTCTAAAATTCATTTGGAATGAAAATTATTCATGCAAAATTGTAAAAATTCTTAATTGTATTATTTTTTGTAAAAAGCATGACATCACTCATTTGACATCAATGCTTGCCTGTGGTTATTTTTACTCGGTACTTTCTTTAAATATTTTCAAACTCCATGTTAATATAAAAACCCAAAGTAATTATAATGACCCTAGTAGGGCAACGTCTATTTTGATGTTGAAAATTTTGTTCAAAAATGTAATAAAAACCATTATGTCGATAATAAAGTACACCCTGCACACGTATAGGTGATAATGTAAAATAAATAAAAACTACAATGCTCGGAAATATTAGTTTTCAGCGCAATCGCAATTTCCCATCCTCCACTTGCACAACAAAGCCACAAAAGCGTCGAATCGCTCTCTTTGCCTATACTGCACATTGCCGTGTTGTATTTTAAAAACGGTCATTTCGCTACAACCATACAAGTAACTACGCGCGCGCCCCAGAGTAAATCAGTTACGCCCAATTAATATTCCCCGCGAAACGGCAGTTGTCCCAATTTGTCAGTGGGTTCTCAAACTTCCCTGACAATTGACGAGTTCGAGACGCCTGACCTACAACCGCGTGTTATGACCACAGTACATAATAATATATACGAGAGGTGTACACCTACTTACCGCATACGAAATTGAAGCACTTCAGCCCTCCATACATCGGTTACTGGTAAAAGTATTTTTTACTTGAATCTGTCGTGTAGCCGCACGCGCTGATCGAAAATCCATCTAGGGCTCACACGACTCGTAAAATTAATTTCAACTCATCGTGTCATACTTCATACGTGGATAGTTCTATTAGTAGCTTTGATTGTGTGTGCGTTTTTTTTCTATGATGTGTATGAATTTTATTTAAATAGTACTCAAACGTAATTTTTAAAAAGAGCTTATGTAAAGTTAAATATTATTTCGATTTTCTTCGTTTTAAAATATATTTAATTTTTGGATTAATTTGTATTGATTTTTGAATCGTAAGCTATAACTTGATTTAAAAATTTTAAATTTACATCTCATCACATCAAATGTTGTTGGATGAATGTTTTATTGATGTATTCGTCAATATTTTTCATTTTGCAAATACCGCGAATAAAAATTATCCTCTGCTTAATGACACACGCTAAATATGTAAGTATGACTTTTTTGTTCCAAGAAAAGAAGTAAATCAAAAAATTGTATCAAAATTATGAGAATCACTTTGAGGACATTCAAACATAATATGCCTACGTACAATCCACCCAAATTTGAGCGAAAAATAAATACAACAAGAAACGAGAAGAGACGATTCGCTTGGACTCGCGGGCATTGAATCAGATTCGATCTATTTTCGTGAAGCGAGCTTTTAGTCCGTTCCAGTTTTGGTCTTTCCTTACAAAGGTGTATGACTATAATCATAGTCATCCGCGCACAGCCCATTTCATGTATACCTTCGGTTGCGTCTACGATTCACAAGCACAATCATACATCTGCAACTTCGCGCCTACTTGCTTCGCCCTTTGTAAGCATACATTATATATACGATGTATCTCATGATGATGAATCATTGACTAATGACGTTTGTCTTTATGACAGAAATTTTGTGCTGTTTCATAACAATCACTTTTATCGCAACATTAATGTGTAGATTATAGTTCACTGAGCCTATTCGTCAGTGTCATTGTTATTCTTATCAGTACTACTCATTCAAAACAAAAAGAAAAACAATAAATTACAAAACATTTTTATCGTAATGTGTAGCACCATCGGTGGAAATTTCTAATTGTCTTATAATACCCAGTAATTATCTCTGACCAATTATTACTTTATTTATTTATTTTTTTTTAAATATACAATGTTTATTTTGTGTACATTAAACAGCTTTTACTATTATAAGATTACATAGTTTGTAAGACCCTAATTTGATGATGATTGTATTATTTATAAAAATTGTTTAAAAATGTTTTTTTTTTTTTTTTAATTCAACCGGTGCACCAAGTTTTTTCGGTATAAAAAAAAACAATTCTCACATAAACTAGAAGGCACATTTTTTTTCTTTTTTTTTGCGATTCGATGGAAGGAAGAGGAAGTTGGCACTTTTGCTGCAATGTTTCATGTGTTTAATAATAAACTTTGAAAGCGACAAAGAAGAGATTATGAGTCAGATGTGATGGAAATTAATGTTGCGCGCACACATCATCTGTACAGAAGTAACTTATTTCTTTTGGTCAATCTTACACTTTTAAGAAAATTCGAAGCATCTGGATGCTTGAGCTCATAAATCTGAATGATTTAAATGTCATATTTCAACAACGTTACGTATATGTTGAGACTTGGCATTCGAGTAGGCTAAATACCCAACGGTCAACTTGTAGAAAATAATTTCCCTAATAAGATATGTGTATAGGTGCAGCTACTTAAGGATAGAAAATTAATGTCGTTCTTCCCCGTTAGCGTTAATTTAGTTGCAAATTAATCTTTGAGTACTAAGTACTCTTGACTTATTAAATGATTATTTATGTTATACATAATTAATATCTTTAACGCATATACCTGCATCATTTGATGAATATTTAATTATGTTATTATTGATTGTGATAAAGATATTTATTTTTAAATTAAAAAATTTCCTTGTGATAATAATTACAAATATATATGTTTTTACGTAAAAAAGTTGTATCAAAACTACGTTTAACCTGTGATTTGATTGGTTTTAAATACATTGAAATTTATTTCAAAACTTATTAATAAGAGAGATTATTGGTATATTTCTCAAGACTTTCAAGCAGTGACGTTTTTAACGTCAATGTCGACACACCGGTACTTAAAAATAGGAAAACCCCCACGTCATAACTTTTGGTGGTTACTCAGTAAAGTTATATTTATTTTGCTTTTGAAAAAGCAAATGAGCCAATGCTTATGCGTTGTTTACGAATAATTTTCTATTTTTTTATGCATCAATCAGTGATAAAAAAGATTTAAAAAAACAACAGGGGAGCATAAAAAAAAAAGACTAAAAATAATAAAGAAAACGATAATCGTAAAAATAACATTAATAATATCGAAACCAATGATGATGATAATAATGGTAATAACGACTTTCTGCCCGCAGTTAGTGCACTAGCGATAGAAAATAAAGTTGGGTATTTTAAAGACATTTATGAAAATGATGGACGGAAAATATTCGTACACTGTGAAAAAAAAAAAAAAAAAAAAAAAAAGGAAAAAATGTACAAATAAGGAACAATGTGGTTGCAAGGTGAAGTAACGGGTAATATTTTCTGATTACAGAAAGTAAAAATCGTGAGAGAGGAGTCCGGTCGAAGGTCAACACTCGTGGCAAGAGAAAACAAAAGACATCGGGATGCCGAGGCCTATCCTGAGCAGGCCGCGTACGCGCGTCTACGGGTGCAACTACGACAAGGGCGAGTCGTACTACAAGCCGACGATCGAGAACTTGGACAGGAAGTACAGCGGGCGCCCGCTCTTCGCCGAGCCGCGCAACTCGCTCGCCGACGAGATAGCCGCGCGACGTAGCGACATCGGTAACGTCTTCAGTCGTTTTCCCAAGTGGTTTTAAACAAAAACAACCCCATCACTTCTCCCCCCACTTACCTTCACTCCATGTGAATTTTCACCAATTGTTTTTTTTATTCACTATCCAGATGAATACACCCACACTTTGTTCATTTCGCTCCTTTGATCTGCAACTGTTTTTATGTTGTTTTTTTTTTTTTTTTTCTCATCTGCAAAGTAANGCTTTCTATACTTTCTAACATTGTAAGTACACTAACGATTTTGTTAAGGCTTGTGAACGCTACTTTGAGTAGCTCAAATAACATTTTTTTTTTTTTTTTTTTCTCCTTGTCTATACCAGTGCGTGTGTATTTTATTACTTTAATATCGCCTGTGACTTTTTGAAATTTTTCTCCTTGCCCGCACTGCTATTATTTGTTCGAATTTTTTTGCATTTCGTTTGTTTCTTTGAACGATCTGGTGGTGTATCTGTTAAAAAAAAAAGTTCACACGAAAAGCATAAAAGTAGCACGTCTCGAGAGCTCCAAACGTATGTTTACAACGTTGTCGCAGATATTAAATTTCTCCTTCATTTACCGATGTAACAACAATATTGACCAACTGGGAAATGCGATTGAAATTTATGTAGAATTGAAAAAAAAAAAAAAATTTTTTCTTTTTAAACACCTTGAAATCACGTCCAGACAGAGTGTTAAGTGTTTTCCCAAACAATAAATATACCTGCGTGTGTTTACAATCCTTTTGTTCGTTTGGCCACTTTGATGCACCGATTGGAACTTCATGTCTATGGAAAATATTGTGCATCCTGTTATTACTGTTACTGATGTTAATATTATTATGATACCTTTTTGTGCGTTCGTGACCTGTTGTGTATTCACGGTCCACACCACGTTTGTCCATATTCATTGTAATTGATACTTTATTGGTTGAATAAATGGTTTCCTTATTTTCTAAAAAATTATTATTAGGAAGCATGAGTTTGTCACCGTAAATTTTTTTTTCTTTTTTCTTAATTGTTTGTTCATATATATGCCTTGGAATTTTTTTACTTTGTTGAATTGACTTTTTTTCCTATATTCTTTCTTCACAAGTATCACATTTATTTTCTCTCTTTTTCCTTGTGTTGCACACACACTTGGACGTACATCGTTTATTCATTGTGATGCGGTAGTATGAAATAATACATTTTTTTTTTTTGTTTTTGTTATCGCCGTTGTTTTATCGGTTTTGATATAGCGATTTAATTTTTATTCTAAAAAGTGGAAGAAAAATCACATTTATAAACACAATGATGTTTCTCATTGAACAAACAGATGGAGAATAGGAGTAAGATGAGTATATAGGAACTGATAGAAATTTTTTTTTTTTTTAATTTTTGATGACCGACGAGTTTTTCGATTCAAACAAATTAAGTTGTAATAAATTAGTAATTTGCATCTACGGCAAAATCATTACTTTTATAAAAAGCACAAAAAAAATACAATCTGAAAATTCGTAGTGTATGAATTTACCTACTTTATTTATTCTTCATTCATAGCTTATTATTAACACCAAACTAGTTCTTAAAAGTAAAAACTGTTTTTAACCATTTTTGGGTCTAAGAAAGTATTTTCAAGCTCTTGCAAAAGAGTTTGGCAGAAAAAATTTGTTTTTCATTTAAATCTACAAGTATTGAGCATAAAAGTTTTCTTAAAAACTGGAATATCTAATTGCAAAGGGGTTTTGTAAATTGTCACACAGGACACATAATTTTGTGAAACATCGATTCGTAATATCATCGCAAAAAGTCTATTGTTCCTACAAAAATTAGTAGTAAAATTGACAGGCTTTTTTTCACCGACGCAATCTGTTACATACAACAAAAAAGTTACTCCAAATATATTGTTGGATAAATAATACTAAGTATTAAATTATGTTATAAATTGCTGAAAAAACAACTTTAATCATGAAGATTATAAATTTCCAAAAATTGTTATCTGGTCGAGAAACACAAAGCCCCGCACTTTCTCGTAACACACGTTCTGTAGGACGACAAAAATACATACTTTGAGCCGTTTATAAGTTGGGGCGATGGCCTATCGCTGATGGCCTTGAACTACTTTTCTAATGTGCCGAGAAAACATAGTGAAGGTTATTTCCGCAAAAGTGGAGTGTAGGCGTACGGCCCCAGCGTCTCATTATACTTTGCAACAGATTACTCGTAGCATAACAATTTGAAAATTCCAACCAATTTTTTAAATTTACATAAAAATAGTTTTGAAGCCTGGTAATTAATAAACAAACAAACAAACAAACAAATGTAGTTTTCTGAGGTAACTGTATTTGAATTGGTATTTGGTACCTATTACAGTTAACAAGCAATACATGTGAAACAGTAACGATTAGGTACTACAAAAAAAATTCCATAACTTAGAATGCTACATTATTCATACAATTTTTTTTAAAGAGATGATTTCCCGAAAATTTTAAAAATAAGTAATCAGTAAATCTTAATTAATTTAGTTGTGCTTTTTTTGTTTTTACAGCAATAATTTTCACATAAAATGCAACATTTTACAAATTAATCATTGTACATCTTTATTTTAATTAATTCAGTTATTTCTATAAGTTATTTAATAACATTTCTCAAAGCATAATCCTGTAAAAGTAAAATGTAATATAATTGTTTTCACAAAACTAAGTATGGATGTAGTAAAAAAAAAAGTTTGATATGCTCAATTATTATAAAACAACTTACTAAATTATTTAAAATTATTAAATTTAGTAGCAATTTATTTGTAGTAAGTATTCGATCAAGGTATCAATAAAATTTATCCATCAAATTTGGGGTGCCTCGGAATTTTCTATCAATTTATACATTGTACGAAACATAAAATCAGATTTTCGTACATCATTTTGTAGGGCTACGTTATTTTAACTGTAGAGATTTTTCTAGTTTATAAATCTTTCTGAATAAATAAACTAAAAAACGTTAGGTGTAATTTTCATCTTAAAAAAATGTTTGTCACGTTTAAGTTACGTGATAAGCAAATAAGAAATAAAGTATTGTTAAATTAATAAATATTAATTCATGATAATCAGCTTTCTATACTTTCTAACATTGTAAGTACACTAACGATTTTGTTAAGGCTTGTGAACGCTACTTTGAGTAGCTCAAATAACATACACATGCATATATCCAAGTAACACACGTATTTACTTTACACTTGAATAATCTGTAGACGATTCAACGTGATATCAAGGTTTTGGTGATAAAAATAATTAGTTTGTAAGTTTGTAAATTGTCAAAGCATTCACAGTCATTGGCACGTAATACATATACGTAACTCAATTGGAGCTCACAATATAAATTTCGTGGCTAAAATCCATGAGGCCAAGACCATCTGACATTATTCATCACGTTTAACGTAACCCATTTTTTTTTTTTTTTTTTTTAATAATTGAGATTTGCGTCGCGCGAGCACTTGCTTTTTTCAATAAATGCTTTTACATATTATGTACACAGTACCAGACTTGTTATCAAATGTGTAATGTGCAATTGATTTATGGTGAAAGAAAAAAAAAAAAAAAAAAAAAAACGTTTTCCCAATATCGTACCGCGAATGGCGACGCATGAGAAAGAGAAGAAACGCTCCTTTCGTACGATTTAAAAAAGCCCCTTTGAAATAAACCACGCGCTTACTCACTTACCCAGTAGGGGGAGGGAGGGAGGGGAAAAGAAAGAAAAAAAGAAAGACGCTAAAACGCGGCAAACACGGTCCTCCGCTCCCCTCCTGTTCCAGGAACGCGCGACCTCGCGGGCTCCCGCACCTTCGACCTCGACTTCGAGCCGGCCCCGACAAAGCGCCACCCGGTTCCCCTGCTCCCCGAAGACGAGGACTTTGTGTTCGACGTCCGCGGGCAGAAGACCTCCCGCGGCGGTGCGGCGCGCCGGCTCGGCGAGAGCCTGGAAAGGGAGTTCCTTGGCAAGGAGTCGGGCCACCTCCGGCGCGCGGACCAGCTGCTCGAGGAGTTACGCCAGCCAACGGCCAAGTGGACGAGGCTCACCGGGGACGAGGACGGGGCTGGTGGGAGCGGCGCGGCTGCCGACCGGGCGCGCAAGAGCAAGGCCCGGCTGAGCGACCTCGAGCACGAGATGGAGGAGATGGCCGAGAAGCAGGCGCGCCGGGAGAAGAGGGCGGCGGCGCTTAGGGCCTTAGTCAGCGAGACCGCGGCCATGGGGGATGACGTGACCTCGTCGATGCAGTCGGTCCACCAGCAGGTGCACCGCTCCGAGAAGACCGAGAAACACGTCTCCTTTTAGGAGGGCTTTTTTCCACCTTCCCTTTTTTTTTTTTTTTTTTTTTTTTCCTTTTTCCCCCCATCCGATTGTCGCGAATCGCCTCCGTGTGTCTTGTGTACTCGCAAAAAAAGGATTAAACACGCGCTTATGGTTTCTAAAAGCAAGTAGGTGCACTAAGTATACATTGTAACATGTACACACTTTTGCCGAAACGTTTTTTGCGAAAATCGGATGATACATCGCTTGGGCAGGTATACACAGTTTAGATTTATTTACTCCTGTTAATTTCAATCCTCGTTTTAGTTGTTTTTGAAAATTACAATTGTTCAAACGATATATACTTTCCTAATAATAGTCGCACATGTGTTTAACCTATTTTTGTATGATAACAGAGACAAAGTATTTTTGTACGAAAGTATGTTGTATGGTCTTATATCGTCGAACACGGGAAAAATCGTATCCATATATTATGTTGTGATATGTTTTAATAAAAAAAAAAAANATGATGGTCGGGACAAAAGTACAGTTGCACCATTGCGTTTTGAGTTGTGGGCTGTCATTCGGCAAAAGTCGTTCAAATTTCGAAGGCGCCTTGCGATGTGTCGGTGGTTTAAGCAACAGCGCGAGGAACAATTATCACCACAGATCGTTTCATTTTGGTTATTTGTTCATCGCTTTTCTTAAAAAACTCGTGCGTTGTTTTTCATTACGGCTGTTATCCCAGTCTTTGCAGATGCCAATGGATTTGTTATAAGTGGAACATGTATAGATACGTAAATGAGCTCCTATGTACAAGTATGATTGTCGTCATCATTTTCATCCTAGGCCTTATTATCCCCAGATCGAGAGATAGAGCCGAATGGCATTATTTTGCGTCGTGCTCCCAATGAATAAAAGATTGAATAATCTGCGCGTCCGTGAGATTTTTCACGCGTTACATCAACGAGGAAACAAATATTTGACTTCTTTCTTGGAATGAGTGGAAAAAATTGATAATCAAGTCGAAAATTTCGCGGACTTGGACTCGCTTTGCTCTACTTGTTTCTTTCCTCGTAAGTACGTACATACTCGTACTTAAGAGTGGAAAACGCATTGACGAGCAAAATAATAAAACGGAGTTAAAAAAAAAAAAACTGAAATAGCACAGCATTGGCTCATACGTGTGTATGTACACGTTGCGCGTATTGATGAAGTTCAAGGCGGAGCGTCGAAAGAGCCGATTCGTCTGCGCGATCACGTCTGCGGGACACTTGGAAATTTCGAAACAAACACGAGCAAACGAGAGATTCAGCATCGTAATTATAGACGACGTAGTAAGTGGCAGTTACGTCTTTTGGGCAAACACTTATACAAACCGCCTTCTTTTTCTGCTGACGATACACCGATCGCCGCGCAAGTGTTATCCTTTTCGAGACGACTGGCACAGAGTCAACAAAGTTATTGAAAGAACGAAAAGAAGAAGAAGAAAAAAAAAAGGAGACCAGACTCCAGACAGGAAGTGAAAAATACGTGTGTATAGATTGCATGCAAAATGGTAATAAACGTTTGCTTGGTGGGCGCACGAAATCTGATACTATAGGTGTATTTTGTCTCGAATGATGACACATCAATCTGCTTGCTTATGACTGGATGGATATTGCTCACTTGTATGAACTTACACTAAAATGCAATCGAGAGAAAAAAAAAGCAGTTCTTTGCGTATCCGTATCGCGAGGATGAGACTATAAATAACGCATCGTTCGCGCCAGGTGTATAATCCACTGTGCAAAGGTACACAAGGTGTATCATGGGTAATGTCGCGAATTTGCGAAAATGGCACGACTGTGCAAATGCAGGGGGACAACAATGCTGTAATGGGCACTTATGTGTATCTGTCGATCGATTCTGTCATTTCTGTAATCCGTGGATCCAGGCGCGGAGGAGGAGTAAAGGGCGGAACAGGCGTTGCGCCATGGAATTTATCCGACTTTCTCCGCTATCCACAAACGTATATAGATCCTCACAGTGTCTTTGCTTCCAGGTACACGTGTGCAGGTACAATACATCTTCAAGAGCCCGAGAAGCGCGCGTGCAGGTGCACATCATTTGTACCGAATAATGAAAGGCCAAGCAGGAGGAGGCGGAACAACCGCGCGCTGAATAAACAATCCCGCGACACGACGTACCTACGTAGGTCTTTCAATACAACACATATACATATATTCACTTACGATTATATGCTTTTGTGGTGTATGTGCTTTCACGAAAATTACACGCGCGCCGTGCTTTACAATACAAGCGCTTCACCCGCACATACCGATCTTTCGTTTTTGTTTGCTCGTGCTCATTCGGCAGTCTCTCTGACTGTCTCTGATACGTATTGTTTCTCGTTCTCTCCGAGAGTATATATAGTACTTAATTGCCTTTACGTGGTCCTACATATAATATTTCTTGGGTACTCAAAGTTTCGGTGGTGAAAAAAAAAAAAAAAAAAAAAAATTGTTGAGCATAACGTTGAGGGAGCAATCGCTGATGCGTATTATATTGTTTTCCGATTGGCCTGCGGCAGGACCGGATGTTCGACATGATAGACCTGAACGCGGAGATCGAGAAGGCGAAGAGCACACTGGGTGCGGCCGACTCGATATTCCAGCGCCACGCGTTGCGCTTCGACAACGAGGTGGACGAGAACGACGAGAGCCTCACCCTGTCCCAGCGGATGGAGCGCGCCCGGAAAGTCGCCGCCCAGGAGGTGCCCGACCCAAAGCAGCCAACCGTCAAGTGGATGAAGCTCGTCCCGGTCGAGCAGCCGGCCAACGGCGAGGCCCCAGCCCAACTCCAGAAGCCCAGGACTACGCTGGCCGACAACCCGTACGAGGGGCCCGAACCACCACGCCGCAAACGCAGCTACTCCAAGCGCAAGAAGAGCGTCTCCTTCTAGATCTCGGAGCTTCGACTCATCCTGTCACTCCAAATTGTCGTTACTTGTTCATTTTCGTTTCTTTTTTTTTTCTTTTTCTTCTTTTCTTCGGTCACTACGGCGAAATTCACCCGCACTTTCTCTCGATTTGGGACTACATTTTTGCTTGATGATGGTTTTTTTTTTTTGGGGGGGGGGTACTTGACCGGTTTTCGCACTATTTCTCTCCGATACGTTGTGGTTTATTTTTCAATCGCTTTTTAACCGGTAATTTTTAAATACTTTTCGGCGTCTCTATAACAAGTTTAATATTCGTAGTTTAAAAAGTTATGATGATAAAAAAATAAAATAAAATAAAATAAATAGACAAAGCAGAACTTACTAAACATCAAAGTGTCATCAATTGATGAGTTATAAAGACGATCTTTGATGATTAATACTCGAAATATTTTCCCTATGACATAAAATTATGAAATCATGTATATTTTTTTTTTTAATAGATAAAGCATAAATACTTTGAGAAAAACGTTTTTTTACCAAATGGTTGTCAACGTTTTTAATCGCTTGATGTGTTTATGATTAAATTAAATGTCACACGTGATTCGTCACTTATAATTTCAACTTGTTCTACAAATATTTAAATTTTATTAAAGGTTTGGAGTTGAAAAATTTTTACAGAGATAAGCAGATCTGTTTGGAACAGCAAAGCTTAGAAATAAAGGTTTGTAACGTGTTTTCTTATTCATGT